GCCCTCCTGCGCCGCCTTGAGAGCGGGCCCGGGACAGCTCCGGGGAGGGCCCTGGTGCTTGGGGCAGCGGCGAGCTATTATGAAACCGTGGGAAAAAGTTCTGGGCCAGCTTTCCGGAGCCATCGCCCTTCCCCAGGCGCGGGGGGCTCCGCTGGGCTGAGGCTCCCAGGAAGGAGGGGAGCTGGAAGTGTGCGTGACCGTGCACATGGGTGGGAATTAGGCACACAAGGTAGAGCAGGGAAGGGAGGGGGGGAAAGCCCCCCCCTTCAGGCTCCCTCCTGCCCTGGCATCCCAGGACCCTCGGGCAAGGAGAGGTGCCACCCCCTCCCCAGCCGCACAGCGACTCTCCACCTGCCGAGCAAGAAGAGCGGGAGCCCTCCTGCCCGGGTTGGGTGCAGTGTGAGGGGGGGAGGCCTCCTCCCGGCTCTCCTTTTCAGTCCTGTGTGACTTTTTCCCAGAAATCCTGCTTTGGGGGTTGTTGGTTGTCGCCGTGTTGATCCGACTCGCTGTTTCCCGACTGTTTCCAGCCCAGGACGCACTTACGTTAATAAAAGTTTTCTGCGGCACGCCTGTTAAGGCATTCCCGGGCCTCGTACCTCGCGTAGCTCGCTTCTGCGGCACGCCTGCTCGCTTCTGACAGCACGCTTCTGTCGCGGCACGCTGGTTGGGAAACACTGGTCTAAGGACATAAGCATGGGGAGATGCGACATCTTTCGTTAGACCAGCTTAGTTGGAAAAAGGTCGGGGTTGGGTGTTTTCTCCTGGTGGTCTCGGGTGCATTTCCCGTTCTCCTTTTGATTTTTGCAAGTCCCTGTTCATGCTGACCTGTCTCCCTGCTGTGCCATGATGATGTTTCAGAGCTGCCGTTAGAAGCTTTGAAAATCATAGTGAAGTCGGACTGGGAGGGACCGGCGGAGGTCGCATCTAGTCCAGCGCCCTGCCCGAGGCCGGATCGGCCTTGTTCAAACCATCCTGTAACATCTGTATGTAAATTCTGCGTAAGACTGGTGTCAGCCCTGGTACAACACAGACCTGACACCCTAACCTGCCACGGGGAAAGCAGAGGGACCACGACAGCCTGTGTCCTACTTCTGTAACGTGTCAATATATGCTCAAAAGATCCCTGGCAGAGGGCTGTGCCTCCCTTTGCTTACAGAGGAGGGGAGCTAGTTTGCAAATATCAAACCACAGATAGGTCATGTAGCTAAAGACCAGTGCTTAACAGCTGGATCTGTGCTGTGGTACTCGTAGCCCTGACGCTGTTGGGGTCCCATCACTTTCAAGACTTGGAGTAGGAGTTCCTAACCCCTGCCTCCCTCCGCACAAAGTACCCAGATAAAGTTATAGTTCACATGCAGTCAACTGCAATTCATCAGAGTACAGGTTAAGTTGCAAAGTAGACGGCAGGCCTGAAAGATGCTGCTCACTTAAGCAATCTGTGCTTTTTACCAGCATGACGTAGATAAGTGGATCTGGTATGCACAGAAGTAAAATACACCGTGTGCAGTGATAGTCAGCCAAAAGATCCTTTCGTCAGAGGTTTAGATCAGTAAGTGAAATGTCAAAGATGCAGAAGTATCTGTGTCCAGGAAAGCTTACAGCTTTGGACCTTGTGCATGTGATGGTTGTTTTTTTGCCACGTGGGTTTTCCCCTCTTTTCCTCCCTTCTCTCCCTGCTTGGCCTGGTGCCAAATCCTGTGTGCCAGCGTGGCTCCTCATGAGTGCAGAGCCCTGTTCACGTAGATCTCGTCGCTTTAAAACCAAATATTGTATCAAAGAGTCACTTGGTGGATATGATTTGGAAAATCACACAATTCCCTTTTAAACTTAACCACGGTGGTTGCTGTGATAATGCTCTGTACAGGATTCAGTTTTCCCCGTTTATCTTAAGTTCTTGGCTTGTTTGACAAAGATCTGGAAACCTGTCAGTAAACTTTTCCTATGCGGTGACTTAGGCCCTGTTTAAAATTTTAACATCGCATCACTTCATGAGGGTAGGGTTTACTGGAGAAGAGAACTCTAAAGGATGTATAACATCATGAGTGTTTGATCGTATCCTGATCATCACTAGGAGAGCAAGCAGGGTGTTTTATAAGTATATGATCTCTGTTTAAAAGTGATTTGTGTGACAGGTTGGGATTCTCTGGCCTCAGAAGGAATATTTACATTCGGGTGACATGTCAAGTGCCTGATGGGGAAGACCTTTTTTTTTTTTAAAGAGACACTTGTGTTGACCGTGGCTCTTTCGGTTTCAGCAAAAGACATACTGGATGCAGGATGCTGGACAACAACTAAGATAAATCAGCAAGGGGAGAGGGCACAGGGGGGTGATGAGAAATGTTCGAAGAGAAGCTACCGTGGGTTAGCCCTCCTGAAGGGATGGACACCGGAGCAGCTCCTCACTGGGTGTAAATGGCTGTGGTTTTATTGAAGTCAGTAGAGCTACGTGATTTTGCAGTAGTGGGAGGTTTAGCTCTGTGAAGTCACAGTTTGTTAAGGCCAATGTGAAGGATGAAAGGAAGGACAACAAGGAATAAAGGTTGCAAAGGGGGATGGGGAATTTCAAATCCAGGCACAGAGGAGGGCTGGAAAAATAGCAGAATGAAATCAAGGATGTGGTGGAAAGGGAGGAAACACACAGAAGGATGGAGAAGGGGTAGAGGAAGGCACAGGGGGACAAGGTATTTGAAATGGTTTTCAGGTATGTCTGATGGACCGCAGCACACTTGTGAAGTGATAAAGTGGGATGGCGAGGGTTAGAAGAAAACCAAATTCATGTTCCTCAGGTATGTCTAAAGACACATGGATCACGCTTGGACCAACAACAGAGCGATGAGGCTTCCTGAAGCCTGACAAAAGCACAGGGCAGGCCAAAGGGGATCCAGCTGTGGATCCCAGCAAAGGATTTGAGGCCTGGAGGGACAGCTTTGCTGCGATTGTGAGCCTGCACAGCGACACCGCAGACAGCGATATGTTAGAGAGCGTTCTGTTTAGCTACCAGAAAAGCTAGCTTGGTTGCTACAGTGATGGGCATCAAAATAGGACTTTTGATGATGATTATTATTCTACTCCTAACAGCCAGAAGTCTCGGTCGTTGTACGAGATGCTGTACAAACATGTGGTGGGAGACATTTGCTGATCCAAAGAATACCAATGGATCCGGTTACAAAACCAAACCCTACTACTCTATACGTAGAAAAGAGGGCTCCAAAAGGAATAGAGGCTGCTCCCCAGGGAAAAGGGCCTTGCACTATGGAGAAGAAGGATATCTTACTACAGAGTTAATCCTTGCAGTTTAACCCTGCCTTTCCCCCCCATTTGTTTGGTAACACAGAAGCAGAATAAGGCTCTGAAAAGAAAGCCCCAATGGACGGACAATGTTACACCCACTAAGCGGAAACGCACGCTGCCTGCATCCTCTCCGCTCAAGAAACGCGCCAAGGAGGTTGACGTCAGTGGGAAGGGAAATTTGGCATCAGCATTTGTTCCGAAGAAGCACCCGACTGACGGGCAGGATGAGAGCACGAGACCTTTTATTAAGACATCCAGCTTGTTTAAAAACAACCCCGAGATTCCAGAAATCCCCAGGTATTCTGAACAAACCGCAATGACGTGCTATTGCTTTTGCTTGTATAAAGCAGGTTTCCTTTCTTTTTTATTTAGGAAGGAATTAGTTAGTTAGTTTATTTCTTTTTCTTTTATTTGTCCGTTGACCTACATTGGTTCTCAGCCTTTTTTCCCACTGAGCTCTCTGTCCCTTATAGTCCAGACCTATCCAGCACCCCTCTCCTTTTTTAGTGTTCTAGGTAAGTTAAAAAATCTAGCAGGAATCAGAGAGACGGGATAGTCGCAACACCAAGAAAGAAAGAGCCGATGACTGAAAAAGACCTGATTCCATTTCCACGGAAGTTTTTTTAGGGTTTTGCTTTCAACTTGTGTAGCTATTAGTGGTATCGGGCCTAGGGTTTGTTGGTATTTTCCAAAGACGCGTGGCAGGAAGGACCCTCGGACGCTTAAAACAGATGCTGGACAGCTTTTGAATCGCCCATCTGGTGAAAGAGAGGCCCAAAAGCTGGAGTATTGTCACAGTAACAATTTGCTGACTAGCTAGGTTTCCTTTTCTGCTGCCCTGTTGGGTCATACAAGTAGATTTTAATGGGAGCCATCGTTAAGGAAAGCCGATATTAAAAGTAAAAGGCTGGGTTTCTTTGTATTGTCCCAGAGAGTTGCATGTTGCTTTAGGGATCCACCAATTAAAAGCAACTTCAGTGTCTGAGAGGGGCCTTTTCTTATGGTTGGACTGATCGTAGTCCTTCCTTGAGTGGGGCCCATGCAGAAAGGAAGCTGCGATTGGTTTTTGTACTGCTACAGCCTCTAGTTCTGGGCTGGTTTTCTCTGACTGGGAAAGTCGGGCCAGACTGCAGTGAATCTGGACCACAGAGGGAAGGTGATGGGACTCACTGCTCTTACCCTGTTTTATACTGGTTTATATGTTGTTTTTAACCTGCTTTCCAGAGGTGCAGTGCAGCTGGTGCAAGAAAAGGTTTTCACTTCCGATTCTTTCACCCAGCTGGATCTTCATCCCCATCTGGTGAGTCTGGGCTGGCAATGGGGTTCTTGGTGTGTGGCTGCTTTTATTTGTTGGTTCTGAATGGATGTTGCTTTGGGAGAACGTGTATTTGGTGCTGAGATGCAGAGGAGGACTCTCCATAAACACCAAGATGTGGGTCTTGTTGCCCTTGTTCTTGGTGACTCGAGGGAGCTGTCTTGCAGTCTGGATGAACTTTGCAGCTTCTGAGAGTGACCATTGCATTAATACCCTGTCAGCGCCCCTCGCTGTGCCCCATCCAGCACCAGCAAATCACATCAGCCCTACCTGCAGCTGCCCATTTCAGCACCAGCAGTCCATGCCTCACCAGCCCCTAATCCTGCATTGTCAGCTAACACCGATCCCTGCTGCATCCCATCCTGTATTGCAGAGCACCCAAAGCTCTCCCATTTGTCCTCCCAGCATTGATTCATGCCGCGGTACTAAAAATGTTGAGTACCACTGGGAAGACTAAATTTTATAGTCCAGTGTTCCTTGACCCACGAGGGCTAGTGGTATTTTGATGGATTAGTACAAATAGGTCAAGCATCAGTGATCTTTTCCAAGTGCTTGTCCTGAAGTAGTGACCAGTAAGAGAGAACATAGATCTTCTGCAATCCAAAGATTACCAAAGAGAAATGTGTGAGTAACACCTTCTCATCCTCTCATTGACTCCTCAGGTATCCACAATAACCACTGTTTTGAAGATGTCTAGTATGACTAGGTAAGTTAGTTAATGTGTCAAATATTTTGGACTTCAATAGCTCACTCTAGCTGGGGATCTCCAAGCACTTTGCAAGTCTGATGTCTTAGCAAGCACTCACAACACCTCAATAAGGACTGTGAAGGCTCAGCACTGTTAAAAACCTGGCTGAAAAGTCACTTGCAGGCTACACAAGTCATTGTTGTGCTGGAAATGAAACCCAGGAGTTTGTGCTTTTAATCTTGGACATTAGCCACAAAACCCTCCCTATTCAAATTCAGCATAGTTATTTTCTTTAAACTTTATTTTCAAAAGTTGCCTTTTGTGATACAGTCTTTTGTAGTGATTGGAGAGACCTAGGTTGATGTAGACCCAGGTGCATAAACTTTAAAGCCGTTGACAAGTGTTACTGTGCCACAGTTGTGTATCTGTGCTGAGGCTGTGCTGTGGTTTGTGTTTTCTAAACTTACTTTGTTTGTTGCGTAGTGTCCAGAAGCAAACTATTCCTGTGCTGCTACAAGGCAAGGATGCCCTGGTGAGATCCCAGACAGGTTCAGGTCAGCATTTAATTGCCAGTATTTCTTACTAAGGGCATGTGTAGATGAAACGGGCTCCAAATTGAAGCAGTGGGTTTTTGAAAACACTGCTTCCATGTAGGGCCATTTAAACTCCTTGCACTCCTGTCTTGCACACATGCCGCTGACGTACCTGCCTCTCTGGTGGTGGGGAGGTGAAGGCGAGCTGCTGGCAGGTGGAGCAGTCCCTGGGCTGTGGTGGGGGGGCTGGTGCTTCCCTCTGCAGCAGCAGTGGCTCCCTCCAGGTGGCACCCGGCTTGGGTGATCCCGTGGGGCACCGCAGCTGTGGAGGGAAGCACCAGGCTCCCGCACAGCTCAGGCAGGCAGGCTCCAGGGGGGCAGGGTGGAATCAGGCTCGCCACTTTTCTTGGGCAGAGCCTGTCTTCCCGGGCTGCTGCCAGGCTGCCTGCAGGGCTTCCTGCAGAGCTGTGGAGCTACACAGAGCCCGGTGCTTCACTCTGCAGCTATAGGGGCAGCAAACTAAAACTCCTCAGAGGAGTTTTAGTTTGCTGCACCCCAAGTCCTTTAAGGCGCATTACAAAGCTGAATTTCCTACAGCGGCTGGAATTAATGTGCAGTACACCGCCGAGACGTGCACACCTTTAAAGCGGTGCAAAAGCATTTAGCCCGCTTTAAAGTGTCGTGCACACATGCCCCTTGTTTCATCTACACACGGCCTAAGGGAACACATTTAGTGGATTGCTTGATTTGACCCAAAGCATTGCCTTCACCTGTTACAGTTGGTCAAATGGACAGACCAACAGCACGAGCTATAGGCAGGCATACTGTAGACAGGTGCTGGGCCAACTTCTTCTATGCAGCTCTGCCAACATGGCTCAACTCTGACATGCAGCTGCCAGCTATTGCAAAGTCCAAGGAGACCTGTGTTGTATAAGGACCATTTTGAGTGGATGCTGGGCTCAAGAAGCCCAGTGCATCCAGCAGCAGCCCAGGTCCAGATCCAGCAACTCAATTATCAACTCAGTCTCCTCAGAGCAGTATCTAATTTTGTCTGTTCCCATGGGTGGAACATTTTATGGACAGAGCTTGGAAAGATCCACTGTCTCCTTTCCACCATCTGACCCCATCAGACTCACCATTAGAAATTTTCACTTTGAGTCCCCAAAACCTCCAGCCCCTGACGTCACTTTGAGAGCGATGGGATGCATGTTTCCTTCTGGTACGCTTAGATTTCCTGAAGCTTTTGAATTTTACAATTTATATTTGTTGTTTTTTTAAATGACAAACTTCTTGCACTGTCTTCCTTCCAAAGGTAAAACTCTGGCCTATGGCGTCCCACTGGTTCAGTCCTTGCAGGGGATGAAGTCAAAAATACAGGTACTTACCGCAGAAGAAAGCATGTGTTGAAACTGAAACTGGCCTGGCCAAAGCACCGGAGATATCCCGAATGGCACATTCCTGCACCAGAGCCCCTCAGGGTGGATTTGGGACACTAGTGGGTCCTTTCCACTTCTGACTTCTCTGACTTTGCTGTGCATTCACCTTAGTGATGTTCTGTCTCCTCTCTTTGCAGCGCAGCGATGGGCCTTATGCACTTATATTGGTTCCAACAAGAGAGGTAAGTGGCTTTGTCTTTTAAGGGTCGTGCAAGCATGTTTGAGTTTGATTTCTGCTACTTTCCAAGGACCCTGAACATTTGGCACTGAGTCCAAGAAGAGCCAGGTTGGGCCCTTGAGGACTTATGGGCCAAGTTATAATTGGGAAGTGTCTGCTGTTCCACTGAGTCAGCAGTTTTTATGACAATTGCCAGTGGTGAATTTTAACTAAGTGCCTCCATACCCATCTCCAGAAAACATCCCATTTTGTCAGAGAACTTGTTCTCTTGTCTGGGAGGCTTCACCCTAAAATCCTGAGGACTGTCAGTCTCACCTTGATGTTGTATCTTGAGAATTGTCTTTGAAAGTCTTCCTTTCACCTTTAATTTAACCAAAAAGAATTCAAGAGCCAGGGGAACATTTCAGTTGTCTTCCCTTTGGGCATTTAAAGTACAGGAGTCTGATACCTGGTCTCTTTCTCTTCTCTCAACCCTTTACTCAGATCTGCTCCCAGGTTCTTCTTTTGCTATCAGTGTTGGACAGTAATAAGCCAGAGAAAAACATCTAAGTTTCCCCATGTGTTTCAGAATTACTTGGAGATATTAGAGGAGCTCCTTGATGGAAGGCATGGGAAAGGACTAGTGTGTCTAGCTCAGGAAAGGCGCATTTGCAAGTAAAACTGGCGATAGCCTTGAAGACACTTACTTTGCAAACTTATGAGTTTATGCAAATACTTCATTTTAAAAGCCCCCTTTTAAAATCCATCAGCAAATGCTGAGGATGAAGCTACCAGTTTGTTTCTTCATTAAACTCTCCTCTATTTGATTTATTTTATTTGCCTTTCAGAGACAATTTCAGAGTAGGGCATCAACCTTTTTTCCATAACTTCCGGATGGAAAATTGATTGCAGGTATCTAGTTCTTGGCATGATATTTTATGCAACCTGCAGTACAATATCTCAGCTCAATACTGAGGAAGGAAAAGGCTCTGAAGCTATTTAAATTTTTACAGCAGCAAACTTGCTGGTTCACTAGGATGCTACATGAATACTAAGCATATGAGAATAGTTCTCAAGCTTGTTCTGAAGGCATACCATTGAGTACATTTACAAGGCTGGTTCGTCATTACTGTTGGCACTCTTCTTCTGCTGGTTTGCAATAGCTTCTTTGGTAACCTGGCAAATAAATAATGTTTAGTAGTTTGCTAGTCTTTCCTGCCAGAGGACTTCAAAGAACTATATTTCCTCTAAATGAACTTTTCTCATGTATGTGGGTTCCATGAACTAAGGTAGATTTGTAGCAACTATTAGCAGCTGGGCAAACAGAATCATAGAAACTTCAAGTGACCCAAAATCAGCCTATAAGTAAATGGATGCAATGAGACAGAGAGAGACCCATAAGTTCTGGGCACTGGTTGCTTCATAAACTCCTGCTTTATATTTCCTTTCCCTCACAATTTTCCTCTGGAAATGGTTCCATTTTCCTCTATGCCATTTTGGTGGAGTAAACCCAGTGTGGCTTTGGAGAGCTGGCTTATCAGTGCATCACCAAGAACAAAAATGTCAGCAGAAGCGGGCACTGCTGTGAAAGGATTGTTCATAAGTCCGAGCCAACAGAGGGAGCACAAACCACTTTTTTTTTTTTTTTTTGGGTATGGGTCCAGATATAATAGAAGGGTCTTCCTTTGGCTTGAATATTCAATGGGTCAGGATAAATATGGAGTTGGGGTTTGTTTGGGTTTTTATGATAGAGATACCTTGAAATCTAGTAACTTAAATCACTGGATTATAACACTGTGAAGAAAGCACATTTTGAGCCCCCAGATTGCTGGGTGGTGCCTTTTAGTACAGACCTATCAGGCTTTCATGACACTTACTCTCCTCTGTTGATATCTACAGCTAGTATTACAGAGTTTTGATACAGTCCAGAAATTGCTTAAGGTAAGTACTGCATCCTGTATTTCCTTCCTGCTTATTTCTGCGACTTTTGTTCTAAGACACGAAACACCTTCAGTTCCCCTTTCAAGTCAGGTGGGAGTTGAAGGAACACAGCATCTGGCAGGCTATCTGGTCCTTCAAGAATAAATCCAGTTCACTTTTATTTTAGTGTCCAAGAGAAAGCACAGTACGTTTGAGTTTGATTTCCCCTTTGGATGCTTCCAGCTATTTGATGAGCACGTAGGTGCTTAAACAACTCTCTAAGATATTATAATTCTTACAGAAGGCCAGAGGATATTCGAAAGGACTTCTGTACTGTTTTGTTTATGGAGGTTCCTGCCTCGTTTCAATAGGCTCTGTAGCTGCGACTGGCCGCACTCGTAGCGGCAGGTACCCTTTTATTAAAACTGATACTAGACCGGGAAGGTTCTGCGGCAGACTGGGAGTTAAGGCATCAATTTGCCACTTGAACTTTCATCTCCTTTTTTAATTTGTTAAAACGAATTGGCTCAGTGTTGTTAAGAGTAATAGAACCTCGCTCACAACCACTTCCTGCCCTGATCCTGTAAACACCTCAACTTGTGATTAACTTGACTACTGTGAGACATTTGATTGATATGTAAGTTAGTATTTAAGTAACATGTATAAGCAAGCATTTGCAAGATTGGGACTTCAGTCTGTTATTTCCCATGCTTCCTAATAACCGGATGGTTCCCCAAGTCCTCTTCTATCACAAAACTGCAAAGAAAATTACTTTTCATTATATGAAGATGCTTAAATACGTTAGTAGGTTGAGGGGATGTTGATAAGCTCATTTCCCCCAGGGAAGAGTAGTGTGCTACCCAAAAGCTGGCCTATGTCTATCCCAACCATGCAGTTGGTTCAATACAAGGTATCTACCACAAGGATGCTTGCCTCTCTCTTAAAATAGTTTAGCCATTTTTAAATTTGTAATGAGATGTCATGAATAGAAGATCTTTTGATCTGAATGTTGAGCCCTGACTTCAGCACTGGCCAGTTTTGTTCCATCAAGATCTCTGGGACACCCAGTTAATGATAACCTCCAAGGGGGAAAGAAATTGGGGGTTTTCACCCTTTACATGTTACACAAAAAGAATTAAAAACAACGTCGGGATAAAACCGTGTTATAATAAAAGAAACGAAGCACTGCTTTGGTACTGGCCCGGCCTGGTAACATTTTCAAATGAGACCTAAATCATTTGGTAATCCAGTGTTTTTGGAGAAGGGGCATAGGTTATGCTTCCATACCTATAAAAGGTGCTTCTGTACATGGCTGGAAGTTCTTCTTGAGATGGGCACTTTAAAGCTCCTGGGATTTTGGAGGGTGTATTCCAGAGATGTTGGGTGTCTAGAGGTTTGGCTCAACAGCCTTTCATTATCATTCCAAAAAAATGATGGATGTTGGACTAGGTGTTCGAATGGCCTGCTCCTTTAGGGCAGCTCTTATGGCTGCTTGACATGCTAAGAGTTGTGCAAACGTCTAGCCTTTCCTTAAGCACTGGATGCGTATGTGCCATCTGTAAAAGTTGCATTGTCTCTTTTCCTTCCTCCCTCTTGAAAGAGATGCATGTTTTGTTTTCATCTGTAAAAAAATGCACTGTGCTACATTTGGATGGAGACTATAATAATCTGGTTGAAGTGTTGGAAAAATTCCTGCCAACTCCAGGGGGAATGAGATTTCATCCTAAGAGCCTTTGCTAGTCTCTCTCTCGCTCTCACACGCACACATACACACACATTTATATAAAGGTCTTCTGTTAAACTGTATTTTGTTTCTTATTTTGCTTGGCCGTAGGAAGATTTTTTTCTTAAAAGCCAAGAGAAGGACGTAGAATTATGCTGTGTCTTTGAACATTTAGGCTATGCGGGGAGGAGGGAAAGAATATGATGATGTTATTAGAAGTGATGCAAAAATGATTGCATTTCCATCTTCCCAAACAACACTGGAAGCAAGTCTCATACCCAGAATTAAAGCTACTGCTGATATTTAACTGCAGGTGGGACAGTGCGTGTGGGTTGTCTGTTAGATCAAATCAGATGCATGCAGCTATAAACCCGAGTCCTCTATCTTTTTGTCAAGAAAAATCAGGTTTTGATTAGTATCTGTCCTCTTATTAAGAAGAATTCATGTTGGTCTGGCTTTTTCCTCACTGTAGCCATTTACCTGGATTGTGCCTGGAGTGCTAATGGGGGGAGAAAAGAGGAAATCGGAAAAAGCCAGGTAGGAAGCCAACTTCTTAAAATTGTATTTTGGGTTTCTTTTGTGTCCTCAAGCCCTTTCATCTGTCACTGTTGTTTAGAGTGACTTTTTACTGGGAGAGAAGCCTGTGACTTGGATCAAGCTGTGAGCGCCCCAGATCTTACACAAAACCAGTGCCTGGGTCAGCAGGGAGCATTCAAAGCCCTCCGTTGGCTCTATTTTTAAAATGTTGATGAGCCTTCTGAGGAGATGATCCCTGTTGATGTCAATATTTTTTCTTCTCTGGCAAACACCTATATTTGCTTAGTGTACAATGTTGGCTGCAATGAGAATGTGTTTGTCTAGGGGAAAACAACTGCTTTTTATTTTTCTGGAGTTAAAATGGTCTTCGTTAAATGTAAGAAAATAATCCTGAATTATTTTCAAGATTGTATGTGAACGTTGGAGTGGTGTAGGAGATTGCACGATCTCCATATTTTCCATTTTTTTTTCTGCTAAATTGGGGTGAAAACAAAGAATTTTGATATTCTGTGCAAAATAATTCCCCCCCGCCCCCCTTTAGTTTTGGGTCAGTTAAAATACTCGGTTTCAATTTCAGCCTTTTAATTTTATAATATAAAATACATTTACAAATTAGTTTGTCAAAAGAAAACATCAACATCTTAGATCTTGAAAATATGGAAATGGAACTTTCTGTGCTACCAAAACCTTTCGTTTCAATTATTTTTCTAAACATTGTCAAAATTGTACCTGGTGGATATCAACTCTCAAGTCCAGATATCTGCTGGTACTGAACTAGGAATAAGCTGTCAATTATTTGATTTGATTTAAACAGATTACGTAAAGGAATAAATATCCTCATTTCAACTCCCGGCCGCCTGGTTGATCACATCAAGTCTACAAAGTGCATTCACTTCCATCGTACCCAATGGCTGGTTCTTGACGAGGCAGACAGGTATGTTTCTAAGTGCTAATAGAGCTAACACCTGCGGGCTTTAGGGTTTAAGGCAACCACCAAGTGCCTTGACTTGGGAAGAAGTGTCCTTTATGGCCATATTATTCTAGTTACCCACTACAGAAATTCTTGCACCTTTCTCTGAAATATCTGGTGCTGGCCATCATTGGAGATAGGCCCCTGGCATGCTCTGCCTTGGGACTTAAAGCGTTCTGAATTGACTCCCGAAGTTTTGGGCCTTTTCTTATTCTTCCTTCCATAGCTTTTTTCATGGTCTTTCCCTTGTTTGCAGGATCCTGGACATGGGCTTTGAGAAGGATGTGACTGTCATACTTAATGCCTTAAATGCAGAGAGAGAGAAGCGGCAGACTGTCTTGCTCTCTGCCACGCTCGCACCAGGTAGGCCATAGAGCCTCTTTAAGCAACCTAAAGCACAGGTGACTGTGAAATAGTTGTAAGGTCTCAAAAAGAGTCGTTGCCAGAGAATAGGAGCTTCTAGCTCTTGTCCTGGGCTTGGCGTACTGGATTATGTGCCTTTTTTGGCTGATACATTTCTCATGCCACAGATACTCAATTTTGTCTCATGGTTTTGCCAGTTTTTAGGTGGTGTTTCACTCCAGTTTCTCGCTGTACTTTCCTGTCCCTTTCAAACTGCATCAGTTGTCTTTAAAGTCCACATATCATTACCCATTTCATTATTGTCCCAGGAGGTGATAGGGAACAATTGCAGTATGTTTTGCTTTGCAAAGAAGCTCCTGCTTTGGGTATAACGGTTTTTCTGTGACTTCAGGTGTAACAAGGTTGGCCGATATCAGTCTGAACGATCCAGTCAGCATTTCTGTTGTGGATGAAACCTGGGACAGAACTGAACCTGAGCTGGAACCAGTTCAGGGAGCAGTTTGTTCCCCAGTTAACATGGGGCACAGCAGCTTTGCTGTACCAGAGAAGCTCAAGCAGCATGTGGTGGTTGTTCCCAGCAAGTTGAGGCTTGTCACCTTATCAGCTTTTATCCTCGGGAAGTGCAAGGTAAGGCTTCACTCGTGTTGTGTCTTTGCCTTGAGGGATTATGGGCCTTTCCAGCTCCTCCATATCTGTGTGGTCTTGGAACAGAACAGGAGACCTTCAAGTGGTCCTTGAAACGCAGCGGCTTGAAAGCTGTGTGGGTTAACCCAGTATTGTCTATGGGCCAAACCGCATTAAATCCACATCTTGGGCTCAGTCAAGGAATTCTGGAGCTGGTGGCAAACTCGACAGGTAGGGTGTAAGCATACCCACCAAGTCCATTTGGAAACATGCATGCTGTAATGCTAACAGTAGTCAGGCTTGGGCTCATTCTGACTTCCTCTGCTCAGGAGTCCTGCAGCAAGGGGCCATCCGCTGTGAAATCTCTGCCATCGATGTCCAAGACTCTTGGCACAGGCACTGGCGGCTGCAGTGCCCCAGTAACAGTCAGAGAGAGGCAGTCTTTAATATAGTAGGGTCCTAGGCCATGCAAGATGATGTGGATTACATCCAGAACTTGCAGTCCAGGAACCAGGGGAGTGTTTGAGGCCTTACTGTGCGGGCACAGCGTGCGTTCCTGCAGCATGTTATTTGTCTCCAGGATATTAAAAATGCAGTCCTTGGCACAGATATATATAAAAAAGGCCTTGTGCATTTTCTTGTCCTCCCTGCAGTTTGAAAAATGCCACAAGATGATCATCTTTTTCTCCAGCTGTGAGCAAGTGGAATTCCACCATGAACTCTTCCTAAAAGTCCTGTTGGGAGGTGCAGAGTCTGACCAGCCTGGGCATCCACTGCCTTCATTCCCAGGCCTGAGGTTCCTCCGACTACATGGCAACATGGACCAGGAGGTGAGCACAACACATATCCATTAGGAGGGCAAGGAGTTGTAGTGAGAACTGCTGCCATTTGCCTTCACTTGCCTTTATCCCCTTTCCTAGAAGAAACTGGTTTCAAAGCCTCTGTTGGTTTTGGTTCTACAGACACTTTCCCATAACTTGTCTGAGGTCAAACTGATACAAGGGAAGACGTCCTACTGGTATATGGTACTAGAATTGGCATTTGTCACTCACTGTGTCGTTGAGTCTATGCATGTGTGTTTCTAGCCATGCAGTACGTGTTTTTATGCTCAGGGGTGTTAAGCTGAGCAAAAAGCCTGCAGGTGAAGAGGTCCATAGGTGGAGTCTTGCAGGAGATACCTTCCCCCTCCTTCCTGGTTCCATCCCTTACAAGCCCTTCTAAATGTAGCCCAGGACTGGGAAGCAGGAGGCTTAGTTTTTGTACCTGGTTTCTGTACCTGATTCCGTCACTGATTTGCTCTGCGACTTTGAGTGAGTCAGTAAGGCCCTAGGGGCCTTTGTTTCTCCATCTGCCAAGGAGAAGAGAGAGATTTGACTTGCTTTTGTAAAATGTTTGAACTCAGTACCTGAAAGGCACTGCAGAAGGGCCAAACATCAGTGTGTCACCAGGTTTGTACAGCTGCGCACACTTAACCCATCCCGCTTTTGTGTAGGTGTGCATCCATCTCTCCCGGCTAGGCAGGGAATGGCTTTCAAACCCAAAGAAACCGTCAGTCTGATTAAACTGACTGTCCAAGTCCAAGTATTACACTGTATAAGTTGGTGGCCCTGTTACGTAGAAGGCGGAACAGGCTGGTTTCGGCTGCAGAGAACAATGCCCTGACAGACTTCCCCCTCCCCAAGGGATGGTATTAGCACTCGAACAGAGATTGCCCAACGACTAGGGCTGGTATACTGGCGTAAGCATACCAAGCTTGGCTGACTTGCTGATTAGAATGGAATTTGATACTGAAGTATTTACAAGGGCAGAAGCGTATGCAAGTGAGCATTCACAGCAGAGGCTTTGAGTAGGAGAGGAAGGTCCCTGAAAGCTCAGTAACCCTTTCCCTGCCCCTAGCCTGTGCAGGGTGGGGAGTGACTGCCCTACTCTGAACAGCACAGTGGTGACAGCAAATGAACAACACTCCTGCAGCAAAGCGAGAGGTGAAGAGCCATTGTTTTTCTCGCTCGTTCCTGTCCTGCGGAGACCAGGAACATGTGGTTCGCTGTCCCTGCATTCTGGCCTCTCCTCACCCTGCCTGCCTGGGAGAGCAAGCAGGCCTGGCCTGGCCCAGCTCTAGCCTGACCAGCTGTTAAGGCAACAGAACACCACTAAGTACCTGGCACCAGGGGAAGGGTTTTGCCTTTTTAGTACCCAGTGTGTAATTAGTGCTTGATGTCTTCAAATTAAGAGCATTAATGGAGCTAAATTGTGGATCCCATATGGTACTGCTGAGCACGGCTGCTGTCATTGTCAACAAGATACAGAGCACTCTCTTCTTGAATTTTTGTTGGGAGAGGCTTGAGCACATCTGAGAAACCCAGGTTTCCAACCTCCTTCTTCAGTGCAGAACGATCTATCCAGCCAGGGATTCCTCTGTGCCATTAGGAGAGATGGCAGTTTCACCCAGCTCTTTGCTATGCTAATTGGGATCAGATTGGGAGCAAGTCTTGGAGCATGAAAGCAAGGAAAGCTTGTGGGGATGGGGGCAGATGGAAATGTGCTGGAGCCAGAAACAATAGAAGGGGTGGTATGCTTAAGGCACATCTAAATCTTCTCCTAACTGCACCACTCTAAGGAGAGCTTGACTATGGTGCTGGCCGTGTGCTTAGGGCTGCTCCGTGGTATCTGTTCCATTCGTTTCTATGCCTGGGCATGAAATAGATGGTGCTCGTTTCTCAGTGGTATGGCAAGCCTCCCTAGGAGGCAGTTTAACCATTCCCCATGAGGCTAGAGAAACCATGAGCTGGTGGAGATCTAGAGAGGCTCAGAAAAGAAGACTGTCTGTGTGCACTAATCTCCCTCAGTGATTAGAGGGCAGGGAGACCAGGTGAGAGAGTAAGTGGGTGCATCAGTCTGTCTCTGAATAACTAGTATGGTGTTTAACATGAGCTTGAGGGAGTGGTGTGAGTCAGCACCTCCTTGCTTCACAGAAAATCCTCTGCAATTTAGAAATCAGCATTTGTTCAGGAAAGTCTTGGCACTGGAGAAGCAAGAGGTTGAGCTGGGAAAAATGAAGGTATCCTGGGTAAGCTTGTGCAAGGTCCTGGAGGGGACGTATCTGCTGGGTGTGGAGAGTGCATCGACGGAGCTTTGTGGGAGTCCAGCACTGGAATAGCAAGGGTCATGACTGTAGGGCCTCCTCATGTGCCCCCTGTGTCCTCCTGGGGAAGCTGATGGATGGTCTTGCTTTGGAAAGGTCCTCACCATTTGAGAATGAAATCCCTGGCAAGAGTGAGTGCCTCCCTGGCAAGAGCTCTGCGTGGTTTGGCCTCTCATAGCAGGAACATGGGGGAACTCGTTCATAATCACGGTGCTTTAACCAAACTTGACCGCTAGGGGGAACCTCTTGTGCTCTTCCAGGCAGGTATTGATGAGGCAGTACCTAAATTAGCCTCCCTCTAATCCATTTTAAGAAGCTTGTGCCTTCTCTAACAGGTCCTTTCTACACAGATCCAGATGACCCCTTTAGCATACTCCTATCAGCTTAGGTTTCACAAGCCCAGCACATCTTGATTTGGACCCAGGGATTTGGGCTAGTCCCAGGCTCTGTGCCTCCCATGATGCCAGCCACTGTTGCCCTTGTTTTTCCAAATCCAAGAAGTCCTCCGCAGACTCGGTAGAACCTTAGGAACCCATCCGCTTTTCTTCTCAAAGCTGGCCAGGAAATTATGGAGCGTGCATAGTCTTTTATTATAGCCTACAGTGTCTGGTCCGTCACTTTACAACTGACCATACTGTGCCCTGTTTTTCATCCTCTAGGAAAGGACTGCGGTATTCCAGGAGTTCCTACAGGCCAAGGCTGGCATCTTACTCTGCACAGTAGGTACCTTTGAATGTCACAGAAAGGATGGTAAGGGTCCCAGTGTGGTAGGCAGTGCTGTCTGTGGTTAGACAGGGTATTGGAAGACCTTGCTTCAATCCAGTGGTTTTCAACCTGTGGTCGTGGACCCCTGGGGATGCACAGACTATATCAAAGGGGTCCACAGACTATATCAAAGGGGTCTAAGGAAAGATGACTATGATCAATCAAAAGTATGTGGATACCCACACGTGCAATTCAGAGGGGCCCACACTTCCATTCAACATTTTTTGGGGGATTGCAAATGAAAAAAGGTTGAAAACTACTGCTCTAATCTAATCCTGGCCCCCTGACCTTGGAAAAGTCAATGATGTGTTCTGTCTCAGCTTCTCTGCCTTGTGCAGCAGACCGACAGCTCCCTCTTTGTAGACTATTTTGCAAACCATTGGTGGAAGTCACCCAGTATAAAGAGCAAAATCTTACTAATCTATTGCATTGGCTGTACAGCTGCCCATCTTGGAAAAGGTGTTTCTTCATGACTTGCCCTGCGTGTGCAGGAGACAGAAAGCAGACCTGATAACGTACTGTGCCCATAGCTGCCAGGTAAATTGGATGCAATGTGGTATTTCCAGTCTTGACAACTACCCCAGGGTTAAAAAAACAAAAACGTGCTGGGATACAGTGGCAGCATAGCTAGAGGACTGTTTCATTAGGAATGCACTTGTTCTGTTTGCCCTTCAAGCTTCCTGTAAGGATGGGGAGGGAAACACCTTTACTCCATTGGAAGTTCACTGGCTCCCTTGTGCTGCGGTGGCACCTCTCGCATCTCGCTTCTGACCCATCGGTGCCACAGCCAGCCTGCTGCAATGGTGCAGAAGGCTGCGCGATTTGCTCTCTAATCGTGGCAGCTGTTGATCTGAAAACGTGTGAATCTTGGCGATTTCTACCCACCGCAAACTTGTAAATTACAGCGATCGGGAGTAATTAGAGCTGAGAAACCCTCTCCAGCTCTGAAATGACTCTGGTTGTTGCGACACCTTCTTCTTAAAGGAAAAGGCTTGCAAGCTTGTGGGGGGCTGCAGAGGAGGTCGAAGTTTATGGAAATGCTGTTTGCAGTGGGTTTGACTACCCTTTAGGTGCTGGGAGAGCTTGGACCTAGGGCTGCCAAATGACCTAAGGCATGACTTGCAAAGCATACTTGTCTTCAGCCGGCCCTCGCCCGAGGAACCTACAGCCCTTTGTTTTTTAACCTTGATCAAGTCACTGAAACCCTCTGTGCCACAGTTTTCCCAGATATCACAGAGATAATGTTTTTCTTCCTCAGCATCAAGACCACTGCAAGGCTTATTAATTCACTGGCTTGCATGAAATGCTTTGAAGGGAAAAAGTACTTGGTAAATGCTAAATACCCTCTAACTAATATTTATTGTGATCTGTGCATCTGCTGGATAGAAGAGAAGAATTTCCCAGGAAGACTCACGTTTACTGACATTGCATTGCCTCTCCAATTTAAAAAGCAGCAGGCAGGTTTATTTTAAGATTTGATGGGTAGTAAATGCGAGTTTGCTAACAACTTATCACTCCCTCTTCTGCTGAAATGCGGGAGGAACATAAACACCTCAGCTTTTCTATGTAGCGCATGTTCAGAGTTGACAGGTCTGTGGTTTTGTCTCCTTTTCCACCATCAATATACAAATTCACAACTGCTTTAAGTAGATGGGTGAAGTACAAAGGTAGCGAGCACCGACATTCATTCATTCATTCATTCATTCATTCATTAGTTAAGTTTAGTAAAATGTAACTGAATATGCTGCTGCTCTGCTAATGCACCTCGCTCCTGAATTTCAGTCTCTTCCCACCTCTTCCAAGTCAGTGTACCCAGCCCGTGCCACCTGGGCATTTGTTCACAAATGGCTGGGTTGAGAGCTCCTTTTCACCTAGGCCTCCACCTGGGTTTGAAACCCAGGATTCCCAGAGATAAAAGATGACTTAACCCACCGGTCTTTGTGCCATAGTTTAACTAGATGGTTCTTAATCCCTGAGACCCACGGTGCCTACTGGATTTTGTGCCAGAGTAGAGTAGCTGATGTGGGGGCTTCGTGCTTCCTTCAAACAGCCTGTAGGCAGGTGTTGTCACCACCTTAAGCACAAATGTAGGTCAGGACACTTGTCCCATCGACCTGACCAGTCCCGTGTTTTGTGTTCTGCTTTGTTCTTTAAGCCATGTGTGTTGTTTCGAGCCATGATGAGGTGGCTGCAGGAGTGTCTCTCTGGGGATTGGTGATCCTTAGTTAATGATATTTCTATTTGGCATGGACACATTATAGACAGCGGGGACGTTAGTGTTGGTTCCCTTGGGTGGCACGAGTCTGTTCATGGTCTCCAGCTGCAGCAGGGCAAGGTGGGAAGAGACAGAAAAGGGAGATTTGGGCAGATAAATAGGATGAAAAAGGGGAGAGTGGAAGGAAGACCACTCAGTTGGGTGCTGGTCTTAGGTGTTGGAGACTTGGGTGCAGTTCCCTGCTCTACTATGGACCTCCTGTGTGGCCCTGAGTCGGTCACTAAATCTCTATGCTTCAGTGCCCCCTATTTAAAATGGGCATAACAGCACCCGGCTCTGCTTCCCAGGCAGGATGGGAGGATAAATACATGAAAGATGGGTGAGGTACCCAGTTCCTGTATTGATGGGGTCTGTATAGATGGTTTGGATCAAGAAGTAGGCCAGACAGTAATTCCAGATTGCACATGCCCCTCCAAACTGATACCACAGGGCAGTCAGGAATCGTGATAACTTCTAGCCTACTGCTCCAGCACTCTGTTTAGAAAGCACGGGTTGTCAGACAGTCGTTATTGCCCCAGTAACAGCACAAATATTTCACAGGCAGGAATTCTTGGCTCTTTACTGTAAAGCCACCTATGTGCTTTGTACCCACAAAGTGCCAGGGTCTTGCTCACTCAGTGCAGGCTTGTGCTGCTCAACAAAGACCACTAAACAAACAAAAAAAAAGCCTCTCTCCTTTTTGTCTCTGGCTCTCTTGTCTCCTTTGCTTCTCTTCCTGCTGTGGCAGTCCATGAAACGCACTCTTTCTGTAAATAGTTTTTATTTTGACTTCTTTTCTTTTCTTTTGCCATGTAGTATAGCCTGAAAAGAAGAGGTATTCCATCTCTGAAGGTATCCTGCAATTTTATTTCTCTCTCCTTTGCTGAAGTTCTGCACAGCTTCCTTCGGGATGTGCCTTTTAAACAAGTTCATCTCTTCCAGGGGGAGAGGAAAGATCATTTGGAGACTGTTTGCTGTTTACTCAGTCACGCTAACTCATCTTGCCAGTTTTCTAGCGGCCCCAGCCAAGAGCTTTCGCCTCTGACAGCTTCTGTGCTCTCTCCTTCCTCCTCTGATTACGCAGCCCAATCTGTCACCCTGCCGACGGGGGTCTCTACCCTGCTGATGGCTTTCCACACTCGGCAGTAATGACTTTTGGCAGGCCGGGAAGGCGCGAGAGCTCCTTCCCCAGCTTGGAGAGCCGTTAGGCCCTCTCTCCCTGTTAGCTAAAGCACTTTGTGAGGTTCTTTGGTAAATAAATGAGTCATTTTAATCCAACTGACAGCCTGGCACCTGAGCAAGCTGCCTTCCATCTGTACTTCTAGGCCTCATGTAGGCAGCCAATTGTCAAGCCCAGGGCCTTCAAGACCTCACCATTGAGTGTCTTTCAAAAGCAACTTTAGCGATTTCTTTCACCCTAATTAGGTTGCACGAGAGGGATTGAGCCAACCGAGGCCCTTGCGAAAGCTTTGTGGCCATGGCTCTTCTGATACCTGGTGGTAATTCACCTTGTTTTCTAGTTAGCATCCTCAGGACCACCCCTGCCCTAGGCAGCCGGCTTGATCTGGTGCCATGAATCGGCGAGAACAAAAATTTCAGCAGCCCTGATGGTGCCCCAGGTTGGCTGTACCCTGATGCTGTGCCCTTCTGCGGCTTCCAGGCTCACTGCAGATGGGACCAGGCAAGACACGTTCATTGCTGTCATCTTTTTTTATTTCCTTCTCCCCTTGATCTGATGTGGTTCCTTTCATTTTGCTTCTGTAAAATCCACCCCCACCCTGCCGAAAGGATTATCACAGCTGAAACCATACGGGGAGACACCAGTTGGGGGGTGGGGAGGGGAAGAGAAGTCCCTGGTGTAGCCCAACGAGGCCATCTCCAGTGATTAACAAGCAGTGCTGACAGCCAGCAGAGGGGAAGAGGAATCCAAGCCCTTCCTCATTTCAGTGAGACTCGGAGCAATGGAAAAACAGGGATCTGTTTAATGGGACGCTCTGTGGACTCACTCAGGCATGCAGATTTTTTGCTTTTTTCCTCATCCCCAGGTCTCCGTCATCTCTCCTGCAGCCGTTTGGCTCAGGACTGCTCCAGCCTCTGCTTTTACAGGAGCAGATTTTGCACCCTTCAGTAACAGCTGCCTCCTTTTTTTGTTCTTGCCTTGGGATTGCAGGCCCCAGTTTTTATGGTTATGCAAGAGCTGCTTACTTGCAAAACGATTAAGTAGATGCAGAGTTGTCAGTATGTGTGCCAGTAGGTTTTTTTGGGGGTGGGCTTCAAAAACGAAGGGGGCTATAATCTGTGGGTACAAAACTCCAGCGTGAAGCCACGTGTCCTCAGTTAAACTGCATTGTCGTTACTGACTTGCATTGTCCAGTCCCTGTTCTGCTTAAACAAATAACTGATTCTGACTGTCTCATTTATAAAATGAATCAGCACAAGTCAGAATTTCTGCCCATCCCTGCTGGGTGCTATAAATCCTATTTTAACTAAATGGGTCTTAGAATGGAATCTGCTCTCTGAGCATCACGGTACCCAGCAAGCCAAAGGAATATGATAAATCAAATTGAAGTCTGCTCCTGGGAGATAGAAAATAAATTTTGGGTGAAATCTTGATCCTATTGAACTTGATGGGAATTTTGACACCGATTTCAGTGGGGCCTGGAAATGACCCCAGACGTTTGACAGCTGCTAAATGTGATCCCAATAAATTAATTGGCAGTTTGTCACTAGTCTTCTGTACCTCTCTCAGGTGCCTTTCTTGTGGAGAGGGCCAAAAAATATTGTAAGGCAGTTTATGAAGCAGGAGTCTCTTAGCATTTGAGGTCCACCAACAGAGAGAGTGGGTTGGTTTAGACTCCCATAGCTTAATTGTATTGTGCTGCTTTTCCAGTAGGTAATAAGACCACAGAAAAGCCAGGGGGACAGATACTGAGTTTGCAGAACCCTCCAGTAATCAGTAAATGCATCTCTAGTCGGCTAATGTAGTCCCTAAGGGCATAAATGCCGATAATTGGCAATCTGACCCGAATACTGATAATAATCCTGCACAGGCAGAATAGTCTGGTGAGTAAGCATGATTTTAGGAGTCAAGAAGTCCTCTTAAGTACAGCTCCTGCCCTACCTCTGTCTTAGGCTGGCCCTTACCATCTTAGCCTGCCCGTCTGCTTTTCCAGGTGGAAAATGGGGATAATACCATTCAGTGGTTTTGAGCCAGAGCCTGAGAACTGAAGTCCGGTTGGAAGAAGAAGGGTACATTTACTGCTTCTTCCCATACTGCCAAGTGGGAGAGAGGGTGCCTCACAGGGAAAAAAAAGTTATGAACTGCTGACTTTATGGAAATATGGGACTGAGCAAGCAGTGAAGAGACCAGGCCGATTGTCTGCGTGCTTTGAGAGAGTATCCTGTCGGGTGACAATCCACAGTTAGTCTTGGTGCTCTCCTGATACGTTGTGCGCATTTTCTGCATGCTCACTGTGTGCTTCAGCATTTCTTAAAGCTGCTATTTTGCACCTCTGCTTGTCCAGCTCTATGAATGGGGCATTCCTTAATGCTACCGAAGCGGGTGTCATGGCACGTGGCTCCTGTTGTACCGCAGTTGGAGTCATGACACAACTCGTTTGGGGCGATGGGAAAGCTTCTGCTGCCAGAACATCAGCTTCCGAGTCTGTAACGCCTGTGGGAGTTGCTTGAAAACACTTCAGTGGGTGGCCGACACGTTTTTAGTACATTAGGCTTCCGCTTTACATTCGTGATCTATTCCGTTTTGGAACAAGCCAAAAGACGCATGTGTGCCAAACATTACCTAATGAGTCCAGCCTGCACGCTTCCTCTCATTGAACGGCACAAGTGCCCGTTCCAAGACCATGGAAGGACGTGACTCATGACACACAATACCAGCAAGGGGTGCTGAGGCTATTTTTTGACAGTACTTGAAACCCTAAAACCCACTGGTGATCTGCAGGGCCCTGGGTAAGTCAAAGGATCTCACTCGGAAGAAATGCTTCCTTCGTAAGTCACTGGGCCAGCCCAGTGGCAAATGCACCAGACAACAGCCCCAACACTTCTCTGCAGGGCTGAGGTTCATCTCTTCACTTCAGAACCAGTCCAGGATAAATACAAGGGATAAGTCAGCCTCTGTCATAGACTCCGTGGAGGTTTTTCTCTCTATTGAGTTGCTCTATTTTTATCTGAGAACCAAGTGATCTTGACTTAAATCCATCAGGAACACCAAATGCATCAGAGGCTGGGGAGTGAATGAGGTTGCCTTGCTTAGATGGCCGTCTTGCCCTGTGACCTCTTAATCTGGACCCAATGTATTTGAGTATGAGCCTCATGTCTCATCTCCCGGTAATCATCAGTAGACCAAAGCACGGTTTTTTCAGTCCCCTGGCCCAGCAAGGGCCCTGCTAGGGCAGGACATAAAGCTCCTTGGTTGTGGATCTCCCTCTCCGAGCAGATCTGGAAAGCAGTGGAGCTATGTGTAAATAAGGGTGGCAAGATTACAGGGTCCGGAGGAGAGTTTTGACCCGGATTCTGAAATGGATTGTGAGCCAATAAAAGTTATTAAGGAGGCAGTTGATCTGATCTGACCTTATTGAAGCAAGAGAGCCATCAGGAATTCATGTTTAGGCTTATTAGGGAAATCAATAGAAAGGGGTTTCATTTCAGATATAAGCAAGGCTTCCAGTATAAGAGAGGAGGTGCCTCCTAAATGCTTGAAAACCAGCATCTGCGGTTAAAGTAATGGTGAGAGACTGAAAATGTTATATTTTGTACAGATGAGAGTACTAACCCTAGAGATCATTAAACCTGAATTAATTTTTTTAAAAATTGAATTCCCTTT